AAATTATGTTGGGTTTTTTTTTTACAATGAGTTACTGGGTATTATTTTGAAATAAGTATAATATTTAAAAAAACCTGGATTGCTGGATATTATTTTGAAAAAAGTATAATGTTTAAAAAACCTGGATAATGATTATATAGAGACTACAATCATTAAATATCTCTGTTCATTCAAATTGAAGAGTTAATTGAAGATGATTTTAAAATAAAAATATTCTTGGTTTTATGAAGATCAGTAAAATATCTGTCTACATATAAATCCTTCAACTAACCTAATTTTTATAATCTTTTTTTAAAATCGACGAAGGTTTATTTGACCTAATTTATATTTTAACAGAATTTCCCACCTTTAGAAGGTCACAGGCCTGACCTTAGTACCATAATCCTTGTTTAAACAGCCTGAATTTTATCAGTGATTGGTTCGTTTGAAATGAAATGCTCCAATCAGTGAAATCTGTGTAACCTGTAACTGAAATAAATGTTCTTATCTTTGCTAAATCTTGTATGTTTGTTTTCTTTGTCTTCTTATTCTGTGAAATACAGCCCTTAAATTGACCCCAATCATTCTGTGAAATACAGTCCTTAAATTAACCTCCAGCATTCTGTGAAATACAGCCCTTAAATTGATCTCCATCATTATGTGAAATACAGCCCTTAAATTAATCCACAGCATTCTGTGAAATACAGCCCTTACATTAATCCCCCAGCATTCTGTGAAATACAACCCTAAATTAAACCCCAGTATTCTGTGAAATACAGCGCTTAAATTAACCCCCATCATTCTGTCAAATACAGCCCTTAAATTAACCCCCAGCATTCTGTGAAATACAACCCTTAAATTAACCCCAGCATTCTGTGAAATACAACCCCCAAATTAACAAGAACATTCTGTGAAATACAGCCCGTGACTAACTCTAGCATTCTTTGAAATACAGCCTGCAAATTAACTCTAGCATCCCTCAAATTATACCCAGCATAGTATGAAATGGAGCCCTCAAATTAACCCAAACATTCTGTAAAATACGACCTACAAATACAGCCCCCAAGTTACGGGGCAGACTGAAAGACCTGTGCAAAGTCCATGGTTTTCACCCTTAAAAAATGTCGTGCACAGCTGACATGACGTCATCTTTACTAGGAAAATGACGTCATCGGTTACACATCTGGTCAAATCATTAATTAGGATAATGCCTAAAAGGAAGTTTAGCCCCCTTCAATTTAAAATTCCTTGTTATACTGATAACTTTGTTATACTTTCAAGTGCATACTTATTGCTGACATCAACATTATTGTCACCCGCCTTTCGAAGAAAGCAGCGGACTATTAAAATGGGCCCCTTCGTCTGTCTGTTTATCAAGCCCATTAGAGACAAAATAACTCTTCTAATTGAGGTTGACTGTTTCAACTTGGTGTAGGTGTTGATTAGATGAATGACTTGATGGAGTTCAAAGATGTGCATTTTATGTTTAGGATCAGATTTAGTGGCCCCCACAATTCTGGGTCATACTAATATTTTATCCCGGATGGAGCCAACCAGTACCTGAGCTGAGGGGGCGAGGATTGGGGCCCTGGGCAGTAAGGGATATTGGGGCCACAGGCACTCAAGGGAGCGGAGTACATACTAGTACGATCCGCGGTCAGTACGAACAATTTGAACAAACAAGAATGGGACCCCCGCACAGTTGGTATGTCCCGCCGCCCCCCCCCCCCCACAAGGTTAATCCGGCACTGGCAGAGATAAGCAATTGGTTGATTGGTCATAATGTGGACCAACATATGACCTTTGTCACCAGTCTTAAGCCACGTTCGTTCAACTTTTGTCGCTCTTAAGTGATATTTTTGGCTTCCTGACTTGGTTAGCTAGCTTTTAGGGTTTGTTTCAGCTATGGCCTCTAAGTTTTAAATATCATCACAAATTAGTGCTAATTAAACATACATTATGCAAGAGCTAAATCTGTCTATTGTAGGTCTTTCTTTAGGCCTGAAATGTTATCTAAATTATTAATTAGACATTAATTAACCTATCCAGACCATAATCAGCTCTAGATGGCATCGATAGCCTCCGATCTTAAGTGGATTATTAGCCAATTTACTGCACAACTTTCCTTCACGATTTAACGATTAAATGGATAATCGAGACTATGCTGTTTATCGTACTGACTTTAGTAATGATGATCGTAGCTAGTCGTAAATTTCTAACGCTTAGTTCTCGGTTCATAGTGGATCAATTTGAATGAAATTTCAGCAAATTGCCTTTACATTATCTAGTTTTGAACTATAACAGTGAGAACTGCCAACTCTTTATCGAATCTCCCATAATGTATATTTAACAAGCTCTTAATAGACATTAGTACATTTAATTATCTTAAGCAGTCATTTTGTGCACTGTAACTCATAGAAATGGTGTTAGAAAGAAAAATAACCCCGGTCAAGACAATTTATTCAAATCCACTCAAACGTCATTATGTGACCCAAAATTTGACCTTTGAACCACTCCTAAGCTAGGTTTGTTCAACCTTTCTCGCTCTTAAGTGATATTTTTGGTTTCATGACTTTGTTAGCTAGCTTTTAGGCTTTGTTTCAGTTATGGACTCTAAATTTTAATTATGGTCACTAATTAGTTTTAATTAATTAAGCTCTTAAGTAGCATTAGCACAGCATTGTATCCTCTTAAGTCATGCATTCTGTTTCTTAGTGTTCAGTATGAAACGTTTGCAAGAAAATTGTGGATGGACATTGAATTTTAACTCCCATTAAATTTGGGAAGGTTAGGGGGAGAGCTCCCAGGTATATGCACAGGTTACAAATCTTAAGACTTGGCTTTCCAAAATGATCTTGGGTTAAACTATATGTTGTAAACCTTAAACCTTTTGGCCTCAATATTTTGATTAAATCTCATTTTATGTGAATCCACTGATCAGGAATTCACATTTATGGTATCTTTTGTTTGTTTTCAAAATCTGATTGAATGAAATGTGTGTTGGAGACATTCTGTTAATCCACTGCTCAGGCATCTTTATATTGTTATTTGATTTAATTAAAATGTGTTTCTTAGTTGTTCTATCAATCCCTGAAATCTGTTGGGTTTTTTATTATTTGGAAATCTGAATTTTGAAAAACGAGCTACATGTAAGTTATCTTGAAATTGACACAATAAAAGTTTGTTAAAATGAAAGAGTTGTAAGGGCAGACGAGGACAGAGGACACCGCAGATGGACAAATTTAAATATTGTTGACTTACATGTACTTTCTGAAAGCTTTTGATTTTGATAAAAGAAAATCTGGTATGAATGAATATAATTATGTTGCTTATGGTGGGTTATTCAGATTTGTTCACTTGAAGTCGCTTGACCACACATCGGCAGGACTAGGACACCTTCATCCGGCAAGAGGTAACAGAACTTGAACGATCCGAGTTCGAATTGCTGTGTGTATGGAGATGAAGCTGGATTTTCCAAATCCGGTGTTCTATTAACAGCGTCAACCACTGTAGGGCTCACAAGGGAAGGGGGGGAAAACCAATGTAGGGCTCATAGGGTAAGGTAGGAACATCCGCTGTAGGGCCCACAAGGGAAGGGGATAACCCGCTGTAAGGCTCATAAGAGAAGGGAAGAAACATCGATGTAGGGCTCACACGGTAAGGGAGGCAAATCCGCTGTCAAGCTCACAAAGGAAGGGGGGGGGGGGGAAATCCGCTGAAGGGCTCACAAGAGAAAGGAGGAAAACACGCCGCAGGGCTCACAAGGGAAGGGAAGAAAACCGATGTTGGGCGTCACAAGGGAAGGGGAGAAGAATTGCTGTTGGGCTCACAAGGGAAGGGATTTATCGTCCACTTGACACAAACTAGGCCATTTCGGGACTAACATATGGTTCAATTATATTTCAATAATTCGCTTGCGTGTAGGGGGTAGGGGTCTTTATCAGTGGAACGAAACCAGAGGACCCGAAAAATATCCACGAAGTTGGACAGGCGACCCAACTCCTTGCTGTCACGTACAGAGAATCGACACCACAGGTATGATCATATACTTTAGGAAATCATATTATCACTAAGTGATTAAAATCCCTGTATCCCTTGTTTATTTCATTGATCAAATAAAGTACAAGTCGTGTAAACGTTTTCAGAATATATTTTATATACAAGAACAATATATATTTATAAACATGACAGAAGATATTTTATATACAGGGATAATACATAAGTACTATAAATGATCATCATCATCATCATCATCATCATCACCATCATCATCAATCAATATAGTACATGTTATAATCTTTATAGAAGAAAATCATTGAATTCTCCTTTATATCTGTATGATCAGGCTATTAAAATTAGATAAAATAAAGCCATATCACAAAACTAACAGATGTGGCTACAGAAAGTTTGAATGTACTATAGTCTGTGAATATTCTGGTGATTGTTTGAACTGTTACATACAGAAAGACAATGGTGAAGAACATGACTTGATTTCGTTCTCAAGATATCAATTTTTGTGAGATTTTGTTTGATGATCTTACTTATATTAATGTCTAGTCCCTTTAGCATTCCTGACACCTGTTACCACTGTTTGTCGTGTATTTTGTACACGGTGAACAGTCCATATGCTTATTACACTATTTTGCCTTATTACACTATTTTGCCTATACCGTTTTTTTAGGACTTCGAATTTTGTCTAATGGTTTGGATTGTTCGTACTTGGTTTTATTTTATATCAGTGGATATACCAGAGAAATGACCTTATAATCGTTTGCTCGTGTACTCGTCTTTAGTTCTACATCATTATGACGCCATAATGGCGATATGCATAGAAATATATAAATATTTATAAAAAAATGTTTAAAGTTGACTGCTCGTAGGTAATAAATACACAAAAAATAAATAAAATATGAATTAAAGAACTATATTTGTATATATTTGTAAGTACTTTCGCTAAAGCTCTTCAGACAAATATACAATGGTTAAAAGATATTTTCACGGCGGGGGGGGGGGGGGGGGGGCAAAGCCCCCCCTTGCAAAAAGTCCCCCCCCCCAACGGTCAAAATATTGTCGACCATAAAATCAATAGACATACATTGTCCGTCAATTTTACAGCACTCCCTGAGAACACTTCTAGCCCCCATCGTTGCTCTGAGCTAGTTACGGCCCTGGGATTCAGGATATGTTGACGATGGAGGTTCATCCTTGTTCTGAGCATAATAGTTTTCTCGATATACTGTCCATTACAACCAGGGCAAACAATCATATAGATTACATAACTGGTTTTGCAATTCAATAACGTCAAATTTTACTAGTAGCTATGAGTGTAAAATACTGTTAATTAATCTGACTATCATCCGCACTCTCCTTTCAGCAATTTAAAGCACATTAATTATGACCTAGGCATCTTCACGTTACAATTCATACCAGGATTTGCCATTGGGATATTTCATGACTTCGCTACACTCATTTGTAAGCTCATCATCAGTATTGAGAGTAAAATACTGGTAGTTATATTGACTATAATCATCATCTCTATCTTTAGCTATACCATAGCCACCATAACCATCATCATCATCAAAATCATTACAACCATCATCAATATTATCTATGTTGTAATCTTCAGGATGTAGAATATCTTTTAACAGGAGAAAGTCGTTTAATTCTCTAGGCAGTTCTAGATCCATGACCTTCTCCTTTATACCCAATCCTAGCTTCTGTCTGATGATTCTCCTACACTGAGACTTGAGAGATATATTACAACAGTACTTAGTGAATATCACTCGGTGTCGTGAGTGGAATGTAGCATCTCGATCATCTTTGTCTTCTTCCTGGAAATTTAATTGTTGTACTATTTCTTCTTCTGATGACCCTCTAAGACATAATAGTCTTCTCATGTCATCTCTCTCTATATTTGTATCTTCCTTCTCAAAATTTAAAGTTGCTACTATTTGGTTTTCAGGAGCTCCACTAAGATATAAAAGTTTTCTCAGTTCACCTCTCTCTTGACTGCTAAGTTCTCTCATATCAATCTGGTTATAACTACTTTCAACTGAAGATGTAACAAGAGACTGAAGACAGCAGTTTTCACCGACTAAATATTTAATAAAACTAACAGCCGTAAGTGGATCCCAACAACGTGGAAAACACAAGGTCGCTTGGATCAGTGTGGTACCATTAATACATGGTAAATTGAGAAGCATATTATCTCCCGCAGATACAAGTAATTTAAAACTTAGATCAAACACACTCTCATAAATATCTAGATGATGTAAAGCAGATTTTCCACTGTAATTCACCAGTGCACCAGCATCAAGTAATTTCCTTATGAGACATCTATCGTTTTTCATTGCCGCCATCATTAAAGCAGTTCTACCTCTTCCATCTGGAGTATTTACATTTATACCAACAGCCAGTAAAATATCAACACACTCCATGTATATTGGATATATCTGTCTACAGTAATCCTCAACAACGTCATTTGTATGACTGTTATTCAAGTCATCTTTAACCATAGTAAATCCAATGATACACAGATGAAGAGCTGTGTGACCGTTGTTATTCTGTGCATTGATGTCTAGTCTAGGATGACGTGTGAATAGTTCTAAATATTTACTATTCAATAACAGAGCAGCTATCATAATAGGTGTATTGGTTTTAGAACATGGGTGGTTTATGTCTAGCTTTTTATTAAACAACCAGTTAAACTTCTTTAGAGAATAATCGTAGTTTACTCTAGCTAACAGATGTAGCATACTTTCTCCCTCTGTTGTAACACCATTAACACTCATCATTAATTCCATGTAATAATTGAACAGCTCCAACCTCTTACAAGTAAGAATCTGGTGAAATAATTTCACTCCATTGTTAGGTGATATCAGTACATCGCGAGAATAAAGTTTAAATATATTTGTAGAATTTAACAAATAATATTGAACACAATAACTACACGCTGTATCACCATTAGTATCAGTTAGATTTACATCAGAATGTTGAATCATCAGTTTAAAGATACGGATATCGGCTTGCCTTCTTGTATAGTGCATTAATGGCGTTTGTCCTTCTTTATTTTGATGTTTCACATTACAGCCAGCATAGATCAATGCAGTGACCAAATTATATTGTAATCTGAACAATATATTACTTTGTTTTAATATGATTTCCGGTTTTCGGGTGGTTACTATATTGAACAGTGGAGTGTTACCATAAATATCGGGTTTGTTTACATCTACTCCCATGTTTATCAAAGTTTTAACAACCTGAATACAATCGTCTGAATACTGGTCTACATCTTTCTCGTCAATATTGTGTATACTATATATTACATGGTGCAGAATATTTCGGTCATATTCATAGATATAATGAACATGTGTCCCATGTCCTAACAAATACATTACAACTTTATACAATCTGTTACTAGCAGCTATATCTATAGGTGTTTGTTTATATCTATTCAGGTGGTTGACATCTACACCAGTTTCAACTAATTTAATTACACAAGGTAACAACTCATCTCTTTCATTTTTACCATATCTCCCTGCACTATATAAAACTAAGTGTAAGACATTATTCTGTTTCTTATCAGTATACTGTACATCAACACAATGATTTATCAGATATATAACAATGTTATACAATCTGTACCTAGCAGCTATAGATATAGGTGTCTGTTGGTCTTCATTCATATGGTTGACATCTACACCAGCTTTAACTAATTTAATTACACACTGTAGCAACTCATCACTTTCTATTTCACCATATTTGTTTGCGCTATGTAAAACTAAGTGTAAGACATTATTCTGTGTCTTATCAGTATACTGTATATCAACACAATGATCTATCAGATATAAAACAATGTTATACAACCCGTCACTAACAGCTATATCTATAGGTGTTTGTTTATATCTATTCAGGTGGTTGACATCTACACCGGCTTTAACTAATTTAATTACATACTGTAACAACCCATCTTCTTCTATTTCATCATATTTCCTTGCACTATATAAAACTAAGTGTAAGACATTATTCTGTTCCCTATCAGTATACTGTATACCAACACAATAATCTATCAGATATATAAAAATGTTATACAACCCGTGCCTAGCAGCTACATCTATAGGTGTTTGTTGCTCTTCATTCAGATGGTTTACATCTACCCCAGCTTTAACTAATTTTATTACACACTGTAACAACAACTCATCTCTTTCTCTTCCACCATATTCCTCTGCACTAGATAAAACTAAGTGTAAGAAATTATTCTGTTCCCTATCAGTATACTGTATATCAACACAATGATCTATCAGATATAAAACAATGTTATACAATCCTTTCCTAGCAGCTACAGATATAGGTGTTTGTTGGTCTTGATTCAGATGGTTGACATCTACACCAGCTTCAACTAATTGAATTACACACTGTAACAACTCATCACTTTCTGTTTCACCATATTTCGTTGCATTATATAAAACTAAGTGTAAGACATTATTATGTTCCTTATCATTATACAGTATATCTACACAATGATCAATAAGATATATAACACTGTTATACAATCCTCTCCTAGCAGCTGTATATATAGGTGTTTGTTTATCTTTATTCAGATGGTTGACATCTACACCAGCTTGAACCAATTTAATTACATACTGTAACAACTCGTCTTTAGTTCCAGGGTGGTATGATCGGTAACTATCTAAAACTAAGTGTAATAGATTGTTATGTTCATCATCTATATACTCTATATCAACACCATGATCTATCAGATAAATAACAATTTTAGACAATCCTTTCCTAGCAGCTATAGATACAGGTGTTTGTTTATCTTTATTCAGATGGTTCACATCTACACCAGCTTCAACTAATTTAATTACACATTGTAACAACTCGTCCCTGTCATCTTGATAGGTGTGTGATCGGTAACTATATAAAACTATATTTAATAGATTGTTATGTTCATCATCTATATACTGTAACGGTAAATCAGCACATTCGTCTATCAGATGTATAATACGTTTATAATTTCCACTCCTAGCATCTTCAATTATAGTTTCATTCATTTCCAGGGGTGACTATGTTGCAAGTACATCTGATGTATGATCACTTTGGTGAGCAGCTATTTCGCCTATTCTGAAATATATTAAAGAAGGTTTAGGTTTAATGTAATTACAAGATATAAAAATAGAGAGATATTCGTTGTAAATATATACTCAGCCAAATTAAAAACTTGAAACTCGGGATTTTTGGGACTAGATTTTTAATATTTGGTTTAAGGCAACTATTTTAGTGTTATGCTGTGCACAGACGACCTTGACATCAACAGAAAGCAAGAATACGTCTAGCCGAAAGTCCTTGACATTGATAACGTTCGTGATGTCACAGTACCCCCCAAAATGAAATTCACAGACTTGGAGAACAATCGGAATAAAGTGTTTAGTAACGGCTGTGGCCTCCTCTAGCGTCTCGTACTGCAACACAACGTCTTCTCATGGATCTCAGAACATTAGTAAACACTACCCGAGGAAGACGTCGCCGCTGCTCAGCTAGAGCGTGTTGAAGGTTCTGCAACGTCAGTGGTGGATTCACTTGCTGACGAACACGTCGACCCAGTTCGTCCCAGATGTGTTCAATAGGATTAAGGTCGGGGCTAAGCGACGGCCAATCCAGGACTTGGACACCGGCATTTCTTAAAAAATTCTGGGTAGCAATTGCTGTATGGGGTCGAGCATTGTCTTGTTGAAACGTTAGTCCAGGCCCATGCATAAACGGAAGAAGAACAGGTTGCAAAATTTGATCCCTGTACTGGACAGCATTTAAGTTCCCTTGGACAACAACAAGAGGAGAACGTCCATGTGCACAAAAAGAACCCCAAACCATGACTCTGCCGCCATCAAATCGGTCAACTTCTCTGAGGCATACTTGAGCGTAACGTTCACCTCGTCTGCGGTACACTCGGACCCTGCCATCGGCAAATCTCAAAGTGAATCGAGATTCGTCACTAAAGACAACCGAATTCCACTGTCTTTGAGTAAATCTTATGTGTCTTGTGGCCCACACAAGTCGGTTACGGCGATGAAGAGGTGTCAATATTGGTCCATTATAGGGCCTCCGGGCTCGAAGACCAGCAGTCTACCAGCGATTTCGAACACTTTTTGCAGTTACCCTTCCACTAAACATCTCTCTACTTGTGGGGGTTGCAGTGACAAATCTGTTTCTAAGATGACGTAATCGTATTGCTAGATCTTCTTGGAGTGACGTCACACGTGCCGCTCCCGCCCTTGGGCGGTCGGCAATAGTTCCAGTTTGAAGCACTCTCATTCTAAGATTAATTATTATCTGGCGTGAACAATTAAAGGCTCTTGCAACAGTGACCACAGACTGACCAGCATAGAGCCTACCTATAGCACGTAGACGTTCTACATTTGAAAGGCGCGGCATTTTCTAACAAAGATGAAAATAACAATTTTAATTTGTTTTTCCAGTTCAAGTTACGTGTGCGTGTTCCGTTTAAGCAAACTTGCATCGATTGACCTCACGAGCTTGTGTTTGCACATGTTTTTCAGGTTTTTCATCTTTATATGCTCAAAAGTCACGTGATCCACGTGACTTTACAATTTTATGAAATTAAAGGCTTCTTACTACTTACTATCGTTAGAAACACTTACCAGAAAAAAAAATTTGTTGAAATTCATCAGTGTCAAGTTTTTAATTTGGCTGAGTATATTAAACCATATTATAGAATTAATTCAAATGTATATAAATTTATATTGTAAATAATTTCACATTTGCATGTATGTATGTTTTGTATATTATACTGTATTGTATCTGGTGAGCTCAAGGTATAAAGCACAGAACAGAACAGGATAATAGTAAATAAATCAATGATTGTATAAATCAATAGTCAAGCTAGAATAATCAATAATCAATACTTACAGAGTTATACGCCCCTTGTGACTGCAACTGAGTTGAAAGTGATATTTATCTTGATTTCTTCAACTGTGATATCTGAAACGTATAAATAAGAACTATGTTATTACTGTGTGAAAAGGCTGGAAGATTTTCAAGTTGTTGGATAGAAAATTTCAGTCCAATATGAACATATTTGTGCTATTTTTAGTATCTGCTGTGTCGGTGTAAATGCCAGTTGTGAACTGTTAAGACTAGATAGTATTTGGACAATACACATCTATATTTCGTTTCGTTTTTTATACTTTCGATGGCCTACACTACATGAAAATCTGACAATTTATAGCGATAGGTCACGTCAGGGGTCAAAAGAACAACTTATGACCCTATGACGTCGGACATTTGATTAACCAATCAGCATTGGTGTTACTAGTGGATTACCAACAGTTCCGTGAAAAACACGCCTAACAGACCGTTTCATTGGCTTATCCCTTCCACATCCAAGTATAGTAAAGACAAGTAAAACGAAATTTTGAACTATAAAAACGAAACGAAATAGGATCTGTGTACAGATTTGTGTGTACGTAAAAGATCCCTTGACAGTTGGAATTCAATATAAGAGTAGACTGTAACGCCGCTGTCCGAATAAAATCCCCCTCACTGCACACTGTATGGCGTAAGTCCGTCTTAATTAACTCATTCGGAGCTGAACAGCAGACCTTATAACGTACGTTATTAAAATGGCAAACTGTCCTATACAATTAACAGGTGTGATGTCAACCAGGTGTAATGTGTACAGTGATAATAGACAGTTTGATACACGGCAGTCGGTACACAGTATAACTAAAGTTATTTAATATTAGAGGAGAAAAATGTTATTCACATTAATCGATGACATGATATCTATTTTGGACGTGAATTTATCTGGTTGTTATTGTATCTTTAAAGTAATATGTTCCTGATTTATTAAGTAATAAACAAGTATATACGTATACAATATATATGACGGAATACTCTTACCTTCAATACACACCTTCGTGATGTATATTATGGGATTAAAATCGTCGACAGCCTAACAATGAAAGGCCTAGGTTGATACCTAAAACCAAGTATCCGTCACCGTCTGATTGTATATTATTTATTCAATATGTCGGTATTTCAACATCCTTTTACACGCTCAACATGATGACATAGATCACGTGAACATCAGTCAATCTGACCTTCGTTACGTTAAATCTATATCGCTTCACCTGGAGTGTTTGGTGGCCTATATAAGATATCAGGTTAATAATATAAACTTACATCGTATAGTCTTATACATCATGGTGACGTGACTATTATAAATATAGTACGATATCAACTCATATTTGTAGAGATAACAGCCTTGTGTCTATTCGAAGAGAGAGTCATCACGAAGTCATTTTATAGAACGCCATATCATGATATTCTGCCTTTGATTTGGATCTAATATAGAACTAACTTCGAGGTCATTTAGTATCAATGTCTAACACATGTTCAGATATAGTGGGATAAGGAGATGTTCTTCGTAGAATTGTTGAAGATATAGGTTTAAATTACACACCGCTTTAAGTTATTATAAAGTATACAAGTCGTTAATAAAATAGGTTTTTTTGTAACTTGTTTCGAATTGAAAGTTGATGTGTATGGACAGACGTACACAGATTCGAACTATGATCAAAGGAGCTAAATCGCTAATATTTTGGGCATAGAAATTTAGACCACAGTGTTTGTGTAAAGCTGAATTATTGCTTATAATATATATATATATAAATATATATAATATTATATAAAAACTTTAGTCATTTTATATAAATATATACATGTACATACATACACAATGTGTATTTTATAGGAAACAAACAAACTTAATAGTTAAGAATATGACATCTCTCTCTTTTATTTTGAATATGACAAAATTTGTTTCTGGGACAAAAAAACAAGAGGTCCCATGTATACATCCATGTAAAAGATTGGATGGGACGAAACAAAACGAGGCCCCGTGTACACATTGGCGTGCACGTAAACGATCCCTTTGCAGTTGGAATTCGATATAAGAGCAGGCCATAGTGCTGCTGCCGGGGCAAAATTTGCCCCATAGTACACTGTATGGCGTCTTCATTATCCCAGTCGGAGCATAACAGTAGGACGTTAAACCCCATTTCATTTGTACCCAAGTTTCAATTTAAACCTATATTCATGATTTTTTTTTCTTTTTGGTTTTATGACAGTGAATAATTAACAAGATTGGACTCGGATAAAAGAACCAATTTTTAACGATTCTAAAGAGAGAGTTTTTAGTTCTATTATAAACAGTCAAAAATAAACCTTACTAGACTACATTGTAGATACTAAGAAAGAAATTTTCATCATTAACAAAACAAAATTTTGTGGACTTCTTATAACATTAGAAACAAGGTCTATATTTCATCAAGATTAACACATTGTTATTTGGATACCAAGATTCTCACTATAGCAAGATTGTAAGTCTGGTAACACCAACATCAGTGTTATAGGGATGCCTTTTGATTTAAAAGGGTTTCTTGCTGTATGAGGGGTTTAGTTATTGGATACCAACATCAGTGTTATAGGGATGCCTTTTGTGTATGATTAAAAGGGTTCTCACTATAACAACATGAGTGTTATAGTGATACCTTTGTGTTTGATGTAAAAAGGTTCTTGCTGTAAGAGGAGTGTAGTTATTGGACACTAACATCAGCGTTGTTATGATGCCTTTTGAGTATGCTATAAAAGTGTTTCTTGCTGTAAGAGGTCTGTTTGTCTACGATATCGCCCTTGGTGGAAGTGGACGTAAAACTCCAAGAACGAATGAACGAAAAAGGGGTGTAGTTATTGGACACCAACATCAATGTTATACTGATGATTTTTTCGATAACATCTGTGTACTTGTTGCACACCAATTAATGTTGTAAGAAAACTGTAAAGCAATTGTGTTATTCTTGTACAGTTCTAAATGTCCAGTATGATTTCTGTAATGATAAATGATAACGTGTACACTAAAGATACATTATGTAAGAGCGAAATCTGTCTATTGCAGATCAGCTGTATAACTAAATCTGTCTATTGCAGATCAGCTGTATAACTAAATCTGTCTATTGCAGATCAGCTGTATAGCTAAATCTGTCTAATGCAGGTCAGCTGTGTAATTAAATGTCCATCCTATAGCTGTCAGTAAGATCTCTACATCTTCAACCTATCTGTAATATTCAATAATAACATGTAATGATATGTACATTATGTAATGATCTAAATCTATCTATTGTAGGTCAGCTGTTTATCTTAATGTGGCATTAACAAAACAATCATATATCTAATTAGATAAAAGTCTTAAGTGTGTATTATGTCAAATCCACACGGTAACGAATCTCACAGTCAACATTTGTCTAATAATTATCGTGCTTACCGAAGTGCATTATAATACCCATCATGCATTTTATAGGATGTTTTATGATGTGTGAGCTATGGGTCAGACCTAATTTTAATGATTTATAAACATTTAATATTTATCATCCTAAACTAATCCTTCGTTAAATTATATTTTGTTATAAATAGTTTGGAATACTAACTTAATTAAATTCTGTTAAAATTTACTATGATTATTTTATTGGGTTCTCTTTCTGTGAAAGTTAAACAAAATCATGTTTTAAAAACCTATCCCCAGCTTAAGATGTGTAGATACAGTTATCTGCGTTGAATTTCGGAGGCAGCGTAAATTTTAATAACTTGGTATGTGAGCTTTCTCCGGGATAATTGGTCTCGGAGAAAAACTTGCTAAAGTTATTGTTGCCTATGATGAAATGTGTTATAAAGAAAACCAGAATCATGAAGACTAATAATTTTTTTTTTACTTTCACCTTCGGTTGAAATCTTTTTTTAAGTAAAAGATACTGTATAATGACCATGTATCAGAGACTACCTAGTAAAAAACTTTACATCCAGACTGTAAGAGTCATGGTTACTCTTGAACTTTTGATAAATTATGTTGGTTTGTTTTTTTACAATGAACTTCTGTTAAAATCTTTTAAGTATAAGTTACTGAATATTATTTTGAAATATCTCTGTTCATTCAAATTAAAGAGTTAAAGGACAATATTGGTGCCAGTCGTTATCACATATGTGTTAGAGCTGGTTAAACACGTTCCAAATATATTTTTAACACAGAGATCATTGCTACGATAGCTGAGTAATACAGGTTTCCCGTATCGGAAGTGACGTACGCCAAAGGAAAACACGAGTCGCTGCTCTATATAACTGACCGAAGCGACGAGTGATAACATATACACGACCGAATTTCTGCTCACTAATAATTCCTTCGAAGACCAAAAGTTGTTGTGTGAGACTGCGAGAGGATATCTGACAATTCATAAAAGAATTGACCGCCACTAGAAAAGAGAACACGTAATAAAAACAGAAAAAGTCCGTGCATTACCATGTTTTAATAAGGTATAGAATGAGTATAAACAAGGAAATGTACGGACTATTTCTATTTTTCTCGTGTTCTCTTATCTAATGACATTCAATTACTTTATTGAATTGTCAGATATCCTCTTACAGTCCCATATAACAACTTTTGGTCTTGGAAAGAATTATTAGTGAGTAGAAATTCGGCCGTGTATCTGTTATCACTCGTCGCTTCGGTCAGTTATATAGAGCAGCGACTCGTGTTTTCGTTTGGCGTTCGTCACTTCCGATACGGGAAACCTGTATTACTCAGCTATCGTAGCAATGACCGCTGTGTTAAAAATATATTTGGAATGTGTTTAACCAGCTCTAACACATATGTGATAATGACTGGCACCAATATTGTCCTTTAATTGAAGATGATTTTAAAATGAAAATATTCTTGGTTTTATGAAGATCAGTAAAATATCTGTCTACAAATAAATGCCTTCAACTAACCTAATTTTTTTATATATTTTTTAAAATTGACGAAGGTTTATTTGACCTAATTTATATTTTAACAGAATTTCCCACCTTTAGAAGGTCACAGGCCTGATCTTGGTACCATAATCCTAGTTTAAACAGCCTGAATTTTATCAGTGATTGGTTCGTTTGAAATAAAATGCTCCAATCAGTGAAATCTGTGTAACCTGTAACTGAAATAAATGTTCTTATCTTTGCTAAATCTTGTATGTTTGTTTTCTTTGTCTTCTTATCCTGTGAAATACAGCCCTTAAATTGACCCCAATCATTCTGTGAAATACAGTCCTTAAATTAACCTCCAGCATTCTGTGAAATACAGCTCTTAAATTGATCTCCATCATTATGTGAAATACAGCCTTTAAATTAATCCACAGCACTCTGTGAAATACAGCCCTTACATTAATCCCCCAGCATTCTGTGAAATACAACCCTAAATTAAACCCCAGTATTCTGTGAAATACAGTGCTTAAATTAACCCCCATCATTCTGTCAAATACAGCCCTTAAATTAACCCCCAGCATTCTGTGAAATACAACCCTTAAATTAACCCCAGCATTCTGTGAAATACAACCCCCCAATTAACAAGAAAATTCTGTGAAATACAGCCCGTGACTAACTCTAGCATTCTTTGAAATACAGCCTGCAAATTAACTCTAGCATCCCTCAAATTATACCCAGCATAGTATGAAATGGAGCCCTCAAATTAACCCAAGCATTCTGTAAAATACGACCTACAAATACAGCCCCCAAGTTACGGGGCAGACTGAAAGACCTGTGCAAAGTCCAATGGTTTTCACCCTTAAAAAATGTCATGCACAGCTGACATGACGTCATCATTACTAGGAAAATGACGACCAGCTAATTCATTTTTCATCATCGGTTACACATCTGGTTAAATCATTAATTAGGATAATGCCTAAAAGGAAGTTTAGCCCCCTTCAATTTAAAATTCCTTGTTATACTGATAACTTTGTTATACTTTCAAGTGCATACTTATTGCTGACATCAACATTATTGTCACCCGCCTTTTGAAGATTTCAGCGGACTATTAAAATGGGCCCGTTCGTCTGTCTGTTCATCACGCCATCAGGGACAAGATAACTCTTCTAATTGAGGTAGAATGTTTAAACTTGGTGTAGGTGTTGATTAGGTGAATGACTTAATGGAAATGAAATGAAATGAAATGGGGTTTAAAGTCCTAATGTTCTGCTCCTATACTGGGCTAATGAAGATGGGCATACGCCATATAGTGTGCTATGAGGGAAATTTTGCCTTGGCAGCGGCACTATCGCCTACTCTTATATCGAATTCCAACTGCCAGGTGATCTTTCACGTGTATTCCAATATATACACGGGACCTCGGTTTTTCGTCTCATCCGAAGGACTAGACAGCTGTCCTTGTCATGACATCCGTGATGACTTGGAGTTCAAAGATGAGCATATTATGTTTAGGATCAGGAGAGATAAGCAATTTGATTGGTTGATTGGTCATAATGCGGCCCAACATATGACCTTTGTCACCAGTCTTAAGCCAAGTTCGTTCAACTTTTGTCGCTCTTAAGTGATATTTTTGGCTTCCTGACTTGGTTAGCCAGCTTTTAGGCTTTGTTTCAGCTATGGCCTCTAAGTTTTAAATATCATCACAAATTTGTGCTAATTAAACATACATTATGCAAGAGCTAAATCTGTCTATTGCAGGTCTTTCTTCAGGCCTGAAATGTTATATAAACTATTAATAAGCAGGGGCGGATCCAGGAATTTTTGAAGGGGGGGGGGTCATGTTCCTGAGACAATGTATCTCCCCCCCCCCTCCCGCTTGATCTCTATCGTCATTTTGGCGTATATACATACACATTGAGCTTTTTAAACAGAGAAATTCAACACCTCATTTGACGTCAATTTTATTATGAATTAATACAATGACTTTGTGATTCAATTTCATGGATGCAAAGCATTGATTGTGATATCACATAATGTCTATATCATTATCTCGTGCTTTGAGTGCCCATCCTGTCCCAAATCTGACGATAAAGGATAAAGCACACGGCCGAGAAACCTTTCTCATAAAAAGTGTTGATTTACAAAACAATTTATGTAGTTGATCGGGGGGAGGGGGGATCCGCCCCTGATAAGACATTAATTAACCTATCCAGACCATAATCAACTCTAGATGGCATCGCTAGCCTACGATCTCAACTGGATTATGAGCCGATTTACTGCATAACTTTCCTTCACGATTTAGCGATTTTATGGATAATCGAGACTATGCTGTTTATCGTACTGACTTTAGTAATGATGATCGTAGCTAGGCGGAAATTTCAAACGCTTAGTTCTCAGTTCATAGTGGATCAATTATCTAGTTTTTAACCATTATTGTGAGAACTGCCAACTCGTTATCGAATCTCCCATAATGTATCTTTAATAAGCTCTTAATAGACATTAGTACAACATTTTATTGTCTTAAGCAGTCATTTTGTGCACCGTAACTCATAGAAATGGTGTTAGAAAGAAAAATAACCCCGGACAAGACAATTTAATCAAATCCACTTAAACGTCATTATGTGACCAAAAATTTGACCATTGACCCTTGTCACCTTTGAACCACTCCTATATAAGCTAGGTTTGTTCAACTTTTCTCGCTCTTAATTGATATTTTTGGTTTCATGACTTGCTTAGCTAGCTTTTAGGCTTTGTTTCAGTTAAGGACTCTAAATTTTAATTACGGTCACTAATTAGTTTTAATTAATTAAAGATGGGTTCCCAGAAAAGTATTTATCGGGTGGTTATTTCCAATAAAAGTATGGTAATTTTGGTATATATGGATCCAATCTTACTAGAAAAATACTGGATTCCCCGAAAACATTCATGGAGCGTATACAGGAGAAAAATGTAAGGGTTCCCCTAATTAACAGCCCGACGATTAAGAACTTCTGCACGCGTGATGTCAAAGGTCACAAGCGAACATTGAGCGCTTGGTGTACAAGTAGATAAACTTTATGAAGAGTTAATCCGAGAATTTAATTATGATTCGATATTTGTAATAAATAGTAAGCGATTAAAGACAACATCTTCTTATGTATGCAATGAATTCTCCTCTGACTCCCAAGACGTGACGTAAACATGACCTGGTTTGATTGAATTTTAATAGCAGGGCATTCCTTCGCAATTATAATGTTTGAGAAGGATTTGAAGCATAATTATGACAAATTAATTAGTTTGAATATGATTTTGGTCCATATATACCATTAAATCACCAAGTTTGTACGCGGGAACCCATCTTTAATTAAGTTCTTAAGTAGCATTAGCACAGCATTGTATGCTCTTAAGTCATGCATTCTGTTTCTTAGTGTTCAGTATGAAAAGTTTGCAAGAAAATTGTGGATGGACACTAAATTTTAACTCCCATTAAATATGGGAAGGTTAGGGGGAGCGCTCCCAGGTATAGGCACAGGTTACAAATCTTAAGACTTGGCTTTCCAAAATGATCTGGGTTAAACTATGTGTTGTAAACCTCAAAACTTTTGGACTCAATATTTTGATTAAATCTCATTTTATGTGAATCCACTGATTAGGAATTCACATTTATTGTATCTTTAGTTTGTTTTCAAAATCTGATTGAATGAAATGTGTGTTGGAGACACTCTGTTAATCCACTGCTCAGACATCTTTATACATGATTTTGTTATTTATTATTTTTAGATTTATTATTTGATATAATCAAATGTGTTTCTTAGTTGTTCTATCAATCTCTGAAATCTGTTTTTTTTTGTTGTTTTTTTTGGAAATCTGAATATCGAAAAATGAGCTACTTGTTTTTCATGATTCACCAATATCAAAAAAACGAGTGGCTCGTTTTTCGTTATTCGCCATTAACGAAAAACGAAAATCGGGCTAACTTCAAACAGCCCTTTAACATTGTCAACATTTTGCTTCCTCTTTCACCCATCACTTCTGTCCGAATTGCTGTGTGTATGGAGATGAACCTGGATTTTCCAAATCATAGGGTAAGGTAGGAACATCCGCTGTACGGCTCACAAGGAAAGGGGATAACCCGCTGTAAGGCTCAGAAGAGAAGGGAAGAAACATCGATGTAGGACTCACACGGTAAGGGAGGCAAATCCGCCGTAGAGCTCACAAGAGAAAGGAGGAAAACACACTGTAGGGCTCACAAGGGAAGGGAAGAAAACCGATGTTGGGCGTCACAAGGGAAGGGGAGAAGAACTGCTGTAGGGCTCACAAGGGAAGGGATTTATCGTCCACTCGACACAAACTAGTCCATTTCGGGACTAACATATGGTTCAATTATATTTCAATAATTCGCTTGCGTGTAGGGGGTAGGGGTCTTTATCAGTGGGATGAAACCAGAGGACCCGAAAAATATCCACGAAGTTGGACAGGCGACCCAACTCCTTGCTGCCACGTACAGAGAATCGACACCACGCCACTTGACTCAATCACAGAGCTTTTGAAACAACGCGCACGCGTTAACCATTCGGCCTCCCATCAACTCCTTCCTTGATGGGTGTACTTGTCATGATTTGTTCCAAAATGGCAAAGCTGAGTATCTTTTGGGAAAATGAAGAAACTGTCGTCAAACACTTGTAATAGCTTTTTAAATAATGTAGAATATATTGCCTGATTTGAGCTTGTGCGGATTTGTTAAATTGGAGTTGTCAGTTTTACAAACAAATTTTTTGTCGTAACCGTAAATGTTTCAACAACTTTTTTTGTTTAAATCATAATCAGCCTTTCACTGAGGTTTTATTGTCTTGACAGGTATGATCATATACTGTAGGAAATCATATTATCACTAAGTGATTAAAATCCCTGTATCTCTTGTTTATTAAATTGATCAAATAAAGTACAAGTCGTGTAAACGTTTTCAGAATATATTTTATATACAAAATTACAAGAGCAATATATATTTATAAACATGACAGAATATATTTTATATACAGGGACAATACATAAGTGCTATAAATAATAATGATGATGATGATCTATATATCGATCTAATTGAGCTGCCAATACGCTAGCCTAAAGCATCGATTTTAAGCTAATGCACCATAAATACGGGCTATAAATAATATTTATCATCATCATCATCATCATCATCATCATTATCATCATCATCAATTAATATAGTACATGTTATATTCTTTATAGAAGGAAATCATTGAATTCTCCTTTATATCCATTCATAAACTCTGAAGAATATTAAAATTAGCTAAACTAAAGCTAAACTACATACACCCAGAATACCTTACTGAATGATAATCACAGTGCAATTTATTTTATGGATTATGGATTTTACTAGTAGATATAAGTTATAAATACAGTTAATTAATCTGACTATAATCATCACCTTCCAGTAACAACTATAACGTCAACAGAAAGCAAATATTTATAAAATATACAAAAACACATAATTATGACCTCGACATCTTCACGTTAAATTTCATACCAGTATCTGCCATTGGGATATTTCCGGGCTTGAATACACATTTGTCTAAGCACATGATCAGTAGGTAGGGTAAAATACTGGTAGTTATATCGACTATAATCATCATCTCTATCTTTAGCTCTATCATACCCACCATAACCATCATCATCATCAAAATCATTACAACCATCATCAATATTATCTATGTTGTAATCTTTAGGATGAAGAACATCTTTTAACAGGAGAAAGTCGTTTAATTCTCTAGGCAGTTCTAGATCCATAACCTTCTCCTTTATACCCAATCCTAGCTTCTGTCTGATGATTCTCCTACACTGAGACTTGAGAGATATATTACAACAGTACTTAGTGAATATCACTCGGTGTCGTGAGTGGAATGTAGCATCTCGATCATCTTTGTCTTCTTCCTGGAAATTTAATTGTTGTACTATTTCTTCTTCTGATGACCCTCTAAGACATAATAGTCTTCTCATGTCATCTCTCTCTATATTTGTATCTTCCTTCTCAAAATTTAAAGTTGCTACTATTTGGTTTTCAGGAGCTCCACTAAGATATAAAAGTTTTCTCAGTTTACCTCTCTCTTGACTGCTAAGTTCTCTCATATCAATCTGGTTATAACTACTTTCAACTGAAGATGTAACAAGAGACTGGAGACAGCAGTTTTCACCGACTAAATATTTAATAAAACTAACAGCCGTAAGTGGATCCCAACAACGTGGAAAACACAAGGTCGCTTGGATCAGTGTGGTACCATTAATACATGGTAAATTGAGAAGCATATTATCTCCCGCAGATACAAGTAATTTAAAACTTAGATCAAACACACTCTCATAAATATCAAGATGATGTAAAGCAGATTTTCCACTGTAATTAACCAGTGCACCAGCATTAAGTAATTTCCGTATAAGAAATCTATCGTTTTTCATTGTCGCCATCATTAAAGCAGTTCTACCTCTTCCATCTTGAGTATTTACGTTTATACAAACAGCCAGTAAAATATCAACACACTCCATGTATATTGGATATATCTGTCTACAGTAATCCTCAACTACGTCATTTTTCTGTCTGTTATTCAAGTCATCTTTAACCATAGTAAATCCAATGATACACAGATGAAGTGCTGTGCAACCCTGTTTATTCTGTGCATTGATGTCTAGTCTAGGATGACGTGTGAATAGTTCTAAATATTTACTATTCAATAACAGGGCGGCTATCATAATAGGTGTATTGGTTTTAGAACATGGATGGTTTATGTCTAGCTTTTTATTAAACAACCAGTTAAACTTGTCTAAAGAATAATCATAGTTTACTCTAGCTAACAGATGTAGCATATTTTCTCCTTCTGTTGTAACACCATTAACAATCATCTGTAATCTCATATAATAATTGAACAGCCCCAACCTCTTACAAGTAAGAATCTGGTGAAATAATTTCACTCCATTGTTAGGTGATATCAGTACATCGCGAGAATAAAGTTTAAATATATTAGTAGAATTTAACACGTGATATTGAACACAATAACTACACGCTGTATCACCATTATTATCTGTCAGATTTACATCAGAATGTTGAATCATCAGTTTTAAGATACGGATAACGGCTTGCCCTCTTGTACAGTACATTAATGGCGTTTGTCCTTTTTTATTTTGATGATTCACATTACAGCCAGCATTGTAGAATGCAGTAATCAAATTATATTGTAATCTGAACAATATATGTTTTAATGGGTTTTCCGGGAATGGGGTGGGGGTTATAATGAACAGTGGAGTGTTACCATCTTTATCGGGTTTGTTTACATCTACTCCCATGTTTATCAAAGTTTTAACAACCTTAATACAATCGTCTGTATACTCGTCTACATCTTCCCCGTTAATACGGTGCATATTATATAATATAGGGTCTACCTCTTCCTCGTCTGAATACTGGTCTACGCGGATATCGTATATACTAATCAATACATGGTGCAGAATATTCTGGTCATATTCATCAATATAATGTACATGTGCCCCATGTCCTAACAAATACATTACAACATTATACCATCCGTTAGTTGCAGCTATAAATATAGGTGTTTGTTGTTCTTCATTCAGATGGTTGACATCTACACCAGCTTTAACTAATTTAATTACACACTGTAACACTTCATCTTTTTCTCTTCCACCATATCTCCCTGCACTATATAAAACTAAGTGTAAGAAATTATTCTGTTCCCTATCAGTATACTGTATATCAACACAATGATCTATCAGATATAAAACATTGTTATACAATCCTTTCCTAGCAGCTATATGTATAGGTGTTTGTTGGTCTTCATTCATATGGTTAACATCTACACCGGCTTGAACCAATTTAATTACACACTGTAACAACCCATCATCTCTTTCTCTTCCACCATATTCCTCTGCACTAGATAAAACTAAGTGTAAGAAATTATTCTGTTCCCTATCAGTATACTGTATACCAACACAATGATCTATCAGATATAAAACAATGTTATACAATCCTTTCCTAGCAGCTACAGATATAGGTGTTTGTTGTTCTTCATTCAGATGGTTGACATCTACACCAGCTTTAACTAATTTAATTACACACTGTAACACTTCATCTTTTTCTCTTCCACCATATCTCCCTGCACAATATAAAACTAAGTGTAAGACATTATTCTGTTCCCTATCAGTATACTGTATACCAACACAATGATCTATCAGATATAAAACAATGTTATAAAATCCTCTCCAAACAGCTATATGTATAGGTGTTTGTTCATATCTATTCAGATGGTTAACATCTACACCGGCTTGAACCAATTTAATTACACACTGTAACAACTCATCACTTTCTATTTCACCATATCTCCCTGCACTATATAAAACTAAGTGTAAGAAATTATTCTGTTCCCTATCAGTATACTGTATACCAACACAATGATCTATCAGATATAAAACAATGTTATACAATCCTTCCCTAGCAGCTACAGATATAGGTGTTTGTTGGTCTTGATTCAGATGGTTTACATCTACCCCAGCTTTAACTAATTTTATTACACACTGTAACACTTCATCTTTTTCTCTTCCACCATATCTCCCTGCACTATATAAAACTAAGTGTAAGAAATTATTCTGTTCCCTATCAGTATACTGTATATCAACACAATGATCTATCAGATATAAAACAATGTTATACAATCTGCACCCAACAGCTATATGTAAAGGTGTTTGTTCATATCTATTCAGATGGTTTACATCTACACCGGCTTTAACTAATTTAATTACATACTGTAACAACCCATCTTCTTCTATTTCATCATATGTCCTTGCACTATATAAAACTAAGTGTAAGACATTATTCTGTACCCTATCAGTATACTGTATACCAACACAATAATCTATCAGATATATAAAAATGTTATACAACCCGTGTATAGCAGCTACATCTATAGGTGTTTGTTGCTCTTCATTCAGATGGTTTACATCTACCCCAGCTTTAACTAATTTAATTACATACTGTAACAACCCATCTTCTTCTATTTCATCATATGTCCTTGCACTATATAAAACTAAGTGTAAGACATTATTCTGTACCCTATCAGTATACTGTATACCAACACAATAATCTATCAGATATATAAAAATGTTATACAACCCGTGCCTAGCAGCTACATCTATAGGTGTTTGTTGCTCTTCATTCAGATGGTTTACATCTACCCCAGCTTTAACTAATTTTATTACACACTGTAACAACTCATCTCTTTCTCTTCCACCATATTCCTCTGCACTAGATAAAACTAAGTGTAAGAAATTATTCTGTTTCCTATTAGTATACTGTATATCAACACAATGATCTATCAGATATAAAACATTGTTATACAATCCTCTCAAAACAGCTATATGTATAGGTGTTAGTTCATATCTATTCATATGGTTAACATCTACACCGGCTTGAACCAATTTAATTACACACTGTAACAACCCATCTTCTTCTATTTCATCATATGTCCTTGCACTATATAAAACTAAGTGTAAGGCATTATTCTGTTCCCTACCAGTATACTGTATACCAACACAATAATCTATCAGATATATAAAAATGTTATACAACCCGTGCCTAGCAGCTACATCTATAGGTGTTTGTTGCTCTTCATTCAGATGGTTTACATCTACACCGGCTTGAACCAATTTTATTACACACTGTAACAACTCATCTCTTTCTCTTCCACCATATTTCTCTGCACTAGATAAAACTAAGTGTAAGAAATTATTCTGTTCCCTATCAGTATACTGTATATCAACACAATGATCTATCAGATATAAAACAATGTTATACAATCCTTTCCTAGCAGCTACAGATATAGGTGTTTGTTGGTCTTGATTCAGATGGTTGACATCTACACCAGCTTCAACTAATTGAATTACATACTGTAACAACTCGTCTTTAGTTCCAGGGTGGTATGATCGGTAACTATCTAAAACTAAGTGTAATAGATTGTTATGTTCATCATCTATATACTCTATATCAACACCATGAAATATCAGATAAATAACAATTTTAGACAATTCTTTCCTAGCAGCTATAGATACAGGTGTTTGTTTATCTTTATTCAGATGGTTCACATCTACACCAGCTTCAACTAATTTAATTACATACTGTAACAACTCGTCTTTAGTTCCAGGGTGGTATGATCGGTAACTATCTAAAACTAAGTGTAATAGATTGTTATGTTCATCATCTATATACTCTATATCAACACCATGATCTATCAGATAAATAACAATTTTAGACAATCCTTTCCTAGCAGCTATAGATACAGGTGTTTGTTTATCTTTATTCAGATGGTTCACATCTACACCAGCTTCAACTAATTTAATTACACATTGTAACAACTCGTCCCTGTCATCTTGATAGGTGTGTGATCGGTAACTATATAAAACTATATTTAATAGATTGTTATGTTCATCATCTATATACTGTAACGGTAAATCAGCACATTCGTCTATCAGATGTATAATACGTTTATAATTTCCACTCCTAGCATCTTTAATTATAGTTTCATTCATTTCCAGGGGTGACAATGTTGCAAGTACATCTGATGTATGATCACTTTGGTGAGCAGCTATTTCGCCTATTCTGAAATATATTAAAAAAGGTTTAGGTTTAATGTAATTACAAGATATAAAAATAGAGAGATATTCGTTGTAAATATATACTCAGCCAAATTAAAAACTTAAAACTCGGGATTTTTGGGACTAGATTTTTAATATTTGGTTTAAGGCAACTATTTTAGTGTTATGCTGTGCACAGACGACCTTGACATCAACAGAAAGCAAGAATACGTCTAGCCGAAAGTCCTTGACATTGATAACGTTCGTGATGTCACAGTACCCCCCAAAATGAAATTCACAGACTTGGAGAACAATCGGAATAAAGTGTTTAGTAACGGCTGTGGCCTCCTCTAGCGTCTCGTACTGCAACACAACGTCTTCTCATGGATCTCAGAACATTAGTAAACACTACCCGAGGAAGACGTCGCCGCTGCTCAGCAAGAGCATGTTGAAGGTCCTGCAACGTCAGTGGTGGATTCACTTGCTGACGAACACGTCGACCCAGTTCGTCCCAGATGTGTTCAATAGGATTAAGGTCGGGGCTAAGCGACGGCCAATCCAGGACTTGGACACCGGCATTTCTTAAAAAATTCTGGGTAGCAATTGCTGTATGGGGTCGAGCATTGTCTTGTTGAAACGTTAGTCCAGGCCCATGCATAAACGGAAGAAGAACAGGTTGCAAAATTTGATCCCTGTACTGAACAGCATTTAAGTTCCCTTGGACAACAACAAGAGGAGAACGTCCATGTGCACAAAAAGAACCCCAAACCATGACTCTGCCGCCATCAAATCGGTCAACTTCTCTGAGGCATACTTGAGCGTAACGTTCACCTCGTCTGCGGTACACTCGGACCCTGCCATCGGCAAATCTCAAAGTGAATCGAGATTCGTCACTAAAGACAACCGAATTCCACTGTCTTTGAGTAAATCTTATGTGTCTTGTGGCCCACACAAGTCGGTTACGGCGATGAAGAGGTGTCAATATTGGTCCATTATAGGGCCTCCGAGCTCGAAGACCAGCAGTCTACCAGCGATTTCGAACAGTTTTTGCAGTTACCCTTCCACCAAACATCTCTCTACTTGTGGGGGTTGCAGTAACAAATCTGTTTATAAGATGACGTAATCGTATTGCTAGATCTTCTTGGAGTGACGTCACACGTGCCGCTCCGGCCCTTGGGCGGTCGGCAATAGTTCCAGTTTGAAGCACTCTCATTCTAAGATTAATTATTATCTGGCGTGAACAATTAAAGGCTCTTGCAACAGTGACCACAGACTGACCAGCATAGAGCCTACCTATAGCACGTAGACGTTCTACATTTGAAAGGCGCGGCATTTTCTAACAAAGATGAAAATAACAATTTTAATTTGTTTTTCCAGTTCAAGTTACGTGTGCGTGTTCCGTTTAAGCAAACTTGCATCGATTGACCTCACGAGCTTGTGTTTGCACATGTTTTTCAGGTTTTTCATCTTTATATGCTCAAAAGTCACGTGATCCACGTGACTTTACAATTTTATGAAATTAAAGGCTTCTTACTACTTACTATCGTTAGAAACACTTTAAAATTTATTTGACTTACCAGAAAAAAAAATTTGTTGAAATTCATCAGTGTCAAGTTTTTAATTTGGCTGAGTATATTAAACCATATTATAGAATTAATTCAAATGTATATAAATTTATATTGTAAATAATTTCACATTTGCATGTATGTATGTTTTGTATATTATACTGTATTGTATCTGGTGAGCTCAAGGTATAAAGCACAGAACAGAACAGGATAATAGTAAATAAATCAATGATTGTATAAATCAATAGTCAAGCTAGAATAATCAATAATCAATACTTACAGAGTTATACGCCCCTTGTGACTGCAACTGAGTTGAAAGTGATATTTCTCTTGATTTCTTCAACTGTGATATCTGAAACGTATAAATAAGAACTATGTTATTACTGTGTGAAAAGGTTGGAAGATTTTCAAGTTGTTGGATAGAAAATTTCAGTCCAATATGAACATATTTGTGCTATTTTTAGTATCTGCTGTGTCGGTGTAAATGCCAGTTGTGAACTGTTAAGACTAGATAGTATTTGGACAAGCAAGCTGGGTATAATCAGATTAAAATACAGATCTCTATTTCGTTTCGTTTTTTATACTTTCGATGGCCTACACTACATGAAGATCTGACAAGTTATAGCGATAGGTCACGTCAGGGGTCAAAAGAACAACTTATGACCCTATGACGTCGGACATTTGATTAACCAATCAGCATTGGTGTTACTAGTGGATTACCAACAGTTCCGTGAAAAACACGCCTAACAGACCGTTTCATTGGCTTATCCCTGACACCACCCAGAACACGAGTTAAATAACAACTCTTCCAGATCCAAGTATAGTAAAGACAAGTAAAACGAAATTTTGAACTATAAAAACGAAACGAAATAGGATCTGTGTACAGATTTGTGTGTACGTAAAAGATCCCTTGACAGTTGGAATTCAATATAAGAGTAGACTGTAACGCCGCTGTCCGAATAAAATCCCCCTCACTGCACACTGTATGGCGTAAGTCCGTCTTAATTAACTCATTCGGAGCTGAACAGCAGACCTTATAACGACCGTTATTAAAATGGCAAACTGTCCTATACAATTAACAGGTGTGATGTCAACCAGGTGTAATGTGTACAGTGATAATAGACAGTTTGATACACGGCTGTAGGTACACAGTATAACTAAAGTTATTTAATATTAGAGGAGAAAAATGTTATTCACATTAATCGATGACATGATATCTATTTTGGACGTGAATTTATCTGGTTGTTATTGTATCTTTAAAGTAATATGTTCCTGATTTATTAAGTAATAAACAAGTATTGTTCTGTCTCGCTGACAGAGACGACCGCGCACGTGTTCTCAAACGTACTTTATGCTCAGTCTCAACTCAAATGGCCGTTCCGTCAGCTGCCCAGATAGCTTACGCGCACCTTTCTAATGATGAAAAAACACAACACAGTATTAGGTGCTAAACCATATTATTATTTTCTTCAAGTAAGTAGCGGTAAAAAGATTATGCGACGAAAACCCTGGTCACTTCGCTCAGCTCCTCGTGTTTATATTTTATTTTATTTTCGGTGATAATGCGCAGACGCGAAGTAAAATAGACTCGATTAACTACACTCCAAAAATGATCGGCTCGCTCAGTGACCAGAATTACCGTACACGACAAAAATAAACATGAACGCACGAATATACTATAGTCTCAATGAACAGCACACTCCCCACTTAAAAGATGAAGTCTTTTACCATTGTTCACATTTCTCCTAAAGGTTTATCGTTATCGATTCGGCACAAAAATACAAGTTCACAAATGGGTCTCTTATAGGTTTTGTATTGTCCATTTAAACGCGGTTGGAAGGGATTCTCATCTCGATAAATGGTGACCTCAGCTACTCTTGCTACTCCATCTGGATCCAGCTTGACACCAGTAACTCTTCCCTTGCTCCATTCACCTCGTACGACATCTTTATCTTTGACTAAAACTATGTCGTTAACTTGTATATTGCTCGTGGTATTCTGACATTTTCTTCGTGGTTGAAGACTCTGTATATACTCTCGTCTCCAACGGATCCAAAATTGGTCCACCAGGTACTGAACTCTTCTCCATTGCGTACGACAGTATAGGTCTGGTTTGGTAAATTCTCCTGGTGCTGGTAGATAGGGTCTCGTTTTAAGAGTAAGTAGGTTGCCGGGAGCTAAAATCTCAGGATTCTCAGGATCTGTTGATATGGCTGTTATTGGTCGTGCGTTTACAATGGCTGCTGCTTCTGCAATCAGCGTTACCAAAAGGTCGTGGGTTAGCTGCTGCTTACCAATACCAAGAAGCATGCCTTCTAATACCCTTCTCAGCGTACCAATTTGGCGTTCCCACACGCCACCAAAGTGTGAGGCGTGGGGTGGGTTAAATCTCCACTCACATTCCTTTGAAGTCAGGAATTTCTTCACAGATTCGTCTTTAATCTCACTTAAGGCTTCTCGTAACTCAGTTCTGGCTCCGACGAAGTTGGTTCCGCAATCTGACCATAAAAGTGCTACAGGTCCCCGGATTGCTATAAATCGGCGAAGGGCGTTGATGAATGCTGATGTGTCCATAGCATCTACAATCTCTATATGTATGGCTCGACTCACAAGGCAAGTGAACATAATGCCCCATCTCTTGCTATTTGCTGATCCTCCACGGGTTTTTCTGGTCATGACTTCCCAAGGACCGAATGCATCCATACCAACGTTGGTGAAAGGAGGCATGTTCTCGAATCTTTGCTCTGGTAGATCGGACATCTTGGGTGACTCTAAGGGTCTTCGTAAGAAGTTACAGCGAATGCAGTTTCTAATTTGATGATTGACTCTCTCTGCTCCACTGATAATCCAGAATCCAGCTTGCCTCACTGCTCCATGTGTGATGGACCGGCCTTGGTGGTGGTTCACGTCGTGGTAATGCTGGATTAATAAGGGCGTTATCAGACTCTTCTTGGGTATAATCCAAGGATGTTTCTCTTGATTGGAATAGTTTGCTCTACTCAGACGTCCTCCAATTCTCAAAGTACCATGGTTGTCGATAAAGGGGTCTAAACTTCTAAGTTGAAGGGTTTTCAGCTCGGTTTTCTTCATGGACTTCTCAGGATGTTTCAGGATCTTAAGCTCATCAGGAAAGGTCTCTTGTTGAATATGTCTGACGACTGCGGTCTCGGCTTCTTGTATTAAAGAAGGATTGATCTCTACCACGGGCTTCTCATTGTTCATATATCTAGTGAACAGTTTAAGACAACAAACTGCTCTCAGAAGCTTCTCCCAGCTGTTGTACGAACTGATTAGCGTACAGAATGAACAGGTCTTTTCTACAAGGGTTGTTCTACAGGATCTAATCTCAGCGTCTTCTTCGCTCAAAGAACTGGTGTAGTCCTCAAAGCTTGGTGTTTTCAAAGATTCCCATAAATGCTCTGGTCCTCTTAACCAATCGCTCTTAAGAAGTTTATGGATTCCACAACCTCTGCTCACTAGATCGGCTGGATTCAACTTGGTCTCAATGTATCTCCATTGGTTTGTGGCTGTTAAACTTCTAATGATTTGAACTCTGTTTGCTACGTAGATATAGAACCTCTTGGTTTGGTTGGTGATGTATCCCAATACTACCTTGGAGTCTGAATAGTAGATCTCCTCATCGATTGTATACTCAAGATCTCGTTTAATGTCTCTCACTGTGTTGACAAGTAGTACGGCTGCGGACAGCTCCATTCTTGGTATCGTAACCTGTTTGAGTGGTTTAACTTTGGCACATCCTTTAAGAAAGGATACCCAAATGCTCTTCTCTGAATTGATCACTCGAAGATATACGACTGCTCCGATCTGATCTTGGCTTGCGTCGCAATAACCATGAATCTCGACTCGTTCGACTTTACCAAAGCTGGCTGGTTTAAGACATCTCTGTACTCGTACTTCTCCAATAGATGACAGGTCTCTGTTCCATATGCCCCATTCCGACTGGAATTCGTTAGGTAGTGGATCGTCCCATGCAAGATTTCCTCTGTGTTCGTTACCCAACTCAATCAGGCTCTGAAGTATTCTCTTACCAACTATTGTGTATGGTGCGAGGAATCCTAGCGGATCATATATAGAGTGGATTATTGATAGGACTCATCTTCTCGTGTAGGGATTTTGTTTGTCGATCACTTGGAACGTTAACTCGTCTCGCTCTAGGTCCCACTGAACTCCTAATGACCTCTGGACTGGTAATATATCAGACGAAAAATCTAGGTTCTTCAGTCCCTTTGCTCGATCTTCTTCTGGTAGGGCATCCATAACCATGGGGCTGTTGGAGGCTACCTTGTGAAGCTTAATGTTTGACTCGTTCAATACGGCTTGTGAAGTCTTAATCAACTCAATGGCTTCTTGTGGTGTTGAACAAGAATACACACCATCGTCCACATAAAACTCCTCGTGGATAAACTTGTTTGCTGCTAACTCGTATTTATCCTTGACATCATCAGCCGCTCTTCGTAGACCGTACGTTGCGATCGCTGGACTTGGTCCATTACCAAACAAGTGAACGTTCATTTGGTACTCGATCACCGGCTTTTTACGGTCGTTGTTCTCAAACCATAGAAAGGATAGGTAACTTCTATGTTCCGGGTTCACGTAAAATGAGTGAAACATTTGCTCGACGTCGCAAGTAAATGCGACCTCCTCTTGTCGAAATCTATGCAGCCTTCCAATTAATCTGTTCATAAGATCAGGACCAGTTAATAACTCAGAGTTGAGGGAAGTGCTCTTGTACTCAGCGGATGAATCAAAAACTACTCGGATTTGGTTCTTCTTCTGTGGATGGTATACTCCAACAGTGTTCGTAGAAGGTGAGGCGTGGCTTTTTTTAAACAGCTTTGTCATAAACTCGAAATAATCGGTCTCAAGTTGTGGATTTCGGTTGAAATTTCTCAATAGACTCTGGAACCTTTTTTCAGCTTGAATACGGTTGTTGGGCATATAAACATCAGAATTCCGAAAAGGAAGAGGTGCTTCCCAATTCCCCAACTGGTTCTTATGGAAGCTCTTGTCCATAAGAGACAGGAATTGTCGATCCTCATGACTCAAACCAATCTCGTTATCTCTCGGTGATGTATAAAACTCATTAAAACTCAAACTCAGGTAGTCGTCTTTTGGCGATTGTTTACATATGAAGGAATTCTCACAAGGCTCATACTTGGTTTCAAATCCAACAGACGTTCTTCTAGCTATGATGTGGACGTTTCCTCCTTGGCGATCTAAGCACAGAACTCCACTCACTGTCCATCCTAAATCAAGACGCTGTGCCCATGCTGCTCCTATAGGCCCATTTATTGACTCTCGTACTTTCAATAACTCAGGTGCGTCACGACCAATAATAAGAAGGAAGGGTGCTTTATTGTCAATTGGTGGAAGATAATCAGCTATACACTGAAGATGTGGTATTTGTCTAACAAGCTCAGGATTTGGAATCTCGTTGGTACCATCAGGAACGTTACTGGATTCAGTTATGCTCGGAAGTGGAAAAACGTCTCCTAGTATTGTGCGTACACAAAGATTTTCTGCTCTGCGACCTACACATAATTCCTTACCATGACAGGTCTCGAGTGTGAACTCGTGCTCATCCCCGTACAGTTGTAGGCCCTCAAATAACTCAGTTGATCCTAATGAGTGGTTGGACTGGTCGTCTATAATGACATATCCTCGCACTGCTCTCTCAGGATTGCTCAATTCGTAAATGTCGACAAGGATTAATTTACCACAGGTTTTACCTCTCATGTTGACAGTCCCGTCACCACAAATTTTGGTACATGCTGATTTTACAGCCTCCCCACTATAAGGTGCCAACTCTTTCTTTTTCGTCTCATCTCTGTCATCTTTATGCAGAACTAATAGGTGACGTCTGTTACATTTAGGACAAGATATATCTCTCCTGGTACAGTGAATGGCAAAATGTTTCCCCTCTAAACAACGGAAACATATCTCAAGCTCTTTTAATAACTGCAGTTTCTCGTCGTAACTTTTCTCTCGGAAGGTTCGACACTCAGAAAGATGGTGGTTGGTTTTGTGGATCGGACATTGGCTGTTCGACTTTTCTTGTTTAGGCTCTAAGTTAACGTCAGTCTTGAGACTAGTGGTGTGTGTACTGGGCGTATTGTCTTTAAAACCATGCTTATAAGGATTAGGCTTTGAACTCAGGTTGTTGCCAGGTCTCGAACTTGTGTATCTCGAACCTTTGTGCTCACTCTCTTGACTCGGTAATTTAGCAATAGATGGATGGTTCTGTCTTAGTGAAAGGTTATGAATCAGCTTAACAAAGGATTTGAATGGTGGGTAATCATCACTTCTATTATCGACCATGTGTTTGGTAACTTTACTGTCCCATTTCTCTTTAATGGATTTAGGTATTTTCTCAACTAAGGTTTTCATGAAATACGAAGTATTCAGGATGCTCAGGCCTTTCAAATAAGGTTCTTGTGTATTTATGTTCTCACAAGTGTCATAAAATGTCTGAAGAGCCTCTTTATCTTCGTAACGAAAGTTAGCAGCCTTCAGTAAAGTTTCAATCAAATTATTCGCTACCTCAGCAGTATGTCCAAACCTTTCTTCTAGTGCTGACCAAAGGTCATTTAGTTTGACCTGGGGATCGGGATGTATTCGTCTGCGAAATTGATTTACAAGCTCTTTAGGTTTGCTACTGGTGTACTTCAGTAAGTACGTAATCTCTTGATTAGGTGTAGCCTCAGCTTCACATATTAAGGTTTTAAATGCTTGCCTCCAAGGAAGAAACAAGGCGGGATCTCCACTAAACACGTCAGGCTCACATTTAGGTAGTGCAAGTGAAGCAAGTAATCTCTTACTAATGTCATTAGAGTGCTCGGGTGGCCTAGTGTTAAACAAGTTGCTTTGTTGATTAGTGCTCTCAAATGGTCTAGGGTCACCATGCGTTGGCATACTAGGTGTGTATCTCAGTGTTAGCTCATGGTTAGGTTGAAATATGGGGGTGTTTGACGATTGCTCGTTATGTATATCACGAGGTGACTCTTTAGGCCTAGTCAAACATTGCTCAGTAGGCCCCTCAAACCTGGGTTGAAATACAGGTGCTGTTGGTAACAACTCAGTAAGGTTCTCATTTCTGTAGATCTCGGTAGGCCTGGATAGGGATAGCTCTGGGGGCTGCTCGAAAGGTAACTCGTTATGCCTGGCGTGGGCTTGCTCAGTGGACCTAGGGCTAGGTAGATCAGTAGGCCGATGTGACTCAATCGTAGTAAGGCTCTTCTCGTGGGGTGTAGGCCCCTGGTTGTTCTCATGTGGGAGGTCTCCGGGCTCAGAACCTATCTCGGATTGTATCCATTGTGCAGTACGCCGAGTACGGTCAGTGGAATTGAAACTATTATCAATAGGGTCAACAGAATTGACTTTTGATGAAGTATGGCTTAGTGTCTCGAAGCCAAACGACAAGGCCTCAGTTACAGCTAATTCTCGCTCATTTTTTATTTGCTCAAGTTTGGATTGGGTTTCTGCCTCAGCTACCTTCCTAGCTAACTCAATTTTGCGAATTTCCTCGTCAAATCTGAACTTCTCTCTTGCAACACGTATTTTAGTCTCAATATATTGAACAGAGCTCGATAATTCTGAACTACGAGTATGACTAGTCATAGACTTGTATGAGGAATGGTGACTTGAGGTTGCATCGTGCGAGTCATCTTTCTCTACTGCAGAGTTGTTGGAAATTGCAGGGGTTGCCATGGCTCAACGGCAGTTTATAGTTTATATTTAAACAGTAATGTATTTTACTCACGGCTGTCGATTCTGTCTGTTTACTCACGGTTATTAAACAGGAAACTCGGCAAACGTTTTATTCACGGCTCCGTATGGTTGTAGCCACTGCAGTCATTTTCTCACACTCACAGCTCTCAAACTCAGGAAAATTTGTAAAGTTTGTTCACAGCTCACGCACAGGCCAAGTTGGTGAAACAATTATAACATAGTTTGAGTTAATAGAAATAAAACATGATCTGGATGCAACATTTTATTCTAGCATACTAGATATACTATAAAGTCGTACCTGGTCAGCCGCCAAAGCTGTTCTCCTTTACATGAAAAACCAAAGCCAATTTATACTTAATTCACTTTGATAACACGGGTAATTAATAATATGGAACAAAAGGACTTATGTAAAGACTACATAATTAAATCATTTGTCATTGATAGATTATCTCACTATAAGAATATGGCAGGCTTCAGAACAATTGATGTGTGTCAGCTAACGCTAGTAAAGGTCATTAGTGATCAGCGGATTATCTAACTTGACCATTATACATATGGCAGCATCTGGTTCTTTATTAAATGAACAATAGTGTGGTCAATTAGAGAACAGTGGAGAGTTTATTACACATGCGGTCATAGGATAATTATAATCTTTTACCCATCACTGTCTCTCATACTATGTAACACAAATCTTTTCTTCTCAGCTCTTTTTAAAACCAGGGAGGTCTTTTTATTCACAACTCATGGAACTAGGGAATTCTGCAATCTTTTTACTGTTCTGTCTCGCTGACAGAGACGACCGCGCACGTGTTCTCAAACGTACTTTATGCTCAGTCTCAACTCAAATGGCCGTTCCGTCAGCTGCCCAGATAGCTTACGCGCACCTTTCTAATGATGAAAAAACACAACACAGTATTAGGTGCTAAACCATATTATTATTTTCTTCAAGTAAGTAGCGGTAAAAAGATTATGCGACGAAAACCCTGGTCACTTCGCTCAGCTCCTCGTGTTTATATTTTATTTTATTTTCGGTGATAATGCGCAGACGCGAAGTAAAATAGACTCGATTAACAACACTCCAAAAATGATCGGCTCGCTCAGTGACCAGAATTACCGTACACGACAAAAATAAACATGAACGCGCGAATATACTATAGTCTCAATGAACAGCACAAGTATATACGTATACAACCCACATAACAATATGATGTTAATTTTACGTTACATTTACGTAAAAATGGTCAGTCAGTTTACCATCATTTTGCTCATCTTTTTAACGATAATTTTACGTCAGGAAATGACGTTAATCTAACGTAAACTTTACGTCATTTTTACGTTATATTTACGTCATTTTCTGACGTAAATCTAACGTAAACTTTACGTCATTTTCTGACGTAAATCTAACGTAAAATTTGCGTAAACTTTACGTCATTTTCGTTAGATTTACGTCAGAAAATGGCGTAAACTTTACGTTAGATTTACGTCAGAAAATGATGTAAATATAACGTAAAAATGACGTAAACTTTACGCTAGATTAACGTCATTTCCTGACGTTAAATTGTCGTTAAAAGGATGAGCAAAATGATGGATATCTAACCGACCATTATAACGTAAATCTAACATTAAATTAACATCATTTACGGATGCAATTCTAATGTCAAATTTTGATGACCAAAGTTACGAAAATATAACAAACCATTAAAACCTTCAAAATTATTCATTATTTGCGGCAGTAAATGGGAAGTACATTCAATCAATAATCAAATTTTCCTGACCCGTGGGTGAGGCTAAAAGTTGAGTGGTCCAACGTGTGCGCTTTAGATCATAAGGTCTGTCATTCCACACCCAACTTGAACATGGGTTTTCTCTGGGTCCTCCTACTACTAAAGATTCCTGGTGCGGATGAATTATTCAACTTGAATTGAATCACTTAGTCCCAAAGGACAGTTTATGTCTATTGGATGTTTTACCCCATTGCTCTCTATCTACCCATAACCAGTCAGAATTCTAAATGTATTGCACAGAAAAGTTAAAAATCTAGCAGAATAATATGACAAAATATACTACAAGTATGTATACATATACTTTATTTAAAAGACAAAAATATAATGTTATAAAATACAAAATACACATTTAAATATTAACAGTTTTTATCCACAGCTGTTTGAGAAATGAAGACGGGCATATGCCACACAGTGTGCAGAGCTATGGCGTACTCTTATATAAAATTCCAACTGCCAAGGGATCTTTCACACACACACACTTGAGTTTACACTGTACCTTGTTTTTTTGGTCCCTTCCGTATGACTAGTCAGCCATCCATGTCAGGTCCTCTGTCCGGCATCACTGACAAGGGAAAATGTTCAAGAAAAAGGTCTACATTAGCGCTATGAAAGTGCTGATATGCATATAAGAAAGAAAAAACTGGGATATTGACCAAATTGGGCCAAAACCTATAGCCTCTATCTTATTTGCTCAAGGTATTGATGGAATAGGAGTTAACTTTGGAATGAGTGAAATGAAATGGGGTTTAATGTCCTATTCCGACAGGGCTAATGACATGGAAATATGCTATACAGTGTCCTATTATGGAATTTTATCCAGACAGCGGCGCTAAAGCCTACTCTTATATCGAATTCAAACTGCCAAGGGATCTTTCACGTGCACACCAATGTGTGCACAGGACCTCGGTCATTCGTACCATCCAAACGACTAGAGAGCTGTCCCTCCTTGTCAGGCCCTCTGTCCTGCACCTCTGACAAGGGGAGGAAACCAAGTCTGGAAATCACGAAGAACTTTCTCGGCCGACACTGGAATGGAATGTTGTGGAATGCTGAATATTGATAGGTTTCGTCCTCTCATGATTCCAGTGTGTAACACAAATTTGAAAAAGATCAATTAAGAATAAACACAGCATCTATTGCATTTGAAAAAGGGAGAATTAACCAAGGAAGGCAAAGTCCTGAAAAGCTGTATATTGATAATGCTTGTCCTCTCACAATCGGAATGATTCAC